TATTTAGTAAATATAAATACATATATTTATTATTTTAGAAGATGGCAGGTAAATTTCAGTTAATGAGTCCTGTAATTTCTCTTACAAATAAAATTTTATTGTGAAATCATTGCATTCAATGATATTTCTATGTCATATTTGTTCCTCCTTTAAAATAGACAATTCTCTTGGAAATGAAACCTGCTTTTGCTATTATTAACTCCCTTTCCTATCACAGAGCTCTCATCCTGATAGGTTTAAAATGTGGCTAACCATCTAAGATGACATTGACTCCAGAAATAACTTTATGACAAAAGCATTAATTTTCTTGTCAACATTTATAAAGACCTTTTACTTACTAGTAGTAGGTCTAAAACAGTCCCTCTCTTCAAGGAATTCACAACTCATGAAGGAGGCTGACGAGCACCCAAAGGCTCTGGAGAGGCATCTACTCAGGAAGTGACACTGAGCTATCCTTAGGTGTACAAAGGAATCAGCTAAACAGTAGGAAATGTCAAGAGAGAGAAGAGTATGTGCAGTAGAACTACAAGATATTCGATTAATCATGCATAAGATACTGGTGAAAGAGGTGAGATATGAGACTGGAGAAGAGTGTTGAGGTTGGCCTCATATAGCTCTGTCTGCCATTGAAGAAATGGCTTTTAATGTTTAGCATGAAAGTCACATGATCAGATTTACTTTTTAGGAAGTAGGGGATTTTTTTTTTGTTATTTGTTTCAAATTCAGTAATATATCTACTGTTTGCAGTAGTATAGGTTTAATTAGCAGTTTAGGCAGTATTTTATAAGTAGAATAAAAAACTGATACAACTCATTAACTAAAATAATATCTGATTAGAAAAACGGGCAGAAGAATTGAATAGACTTTTTTTTCCAAAGGAGACATACAAATGGGCAACATGTACACAAAAAGGCATTCAACATTGCATTGCTTTTCATCAAAAGCAAAATCTCATAACACTTCATACTTGTTATAATGATTATCATAAAAAAGACAAGAGATAAGTCTTGGTGAGGATGTGGAGAAAAGGGTATGTAAACTGGTGCAGTCACTATGGAAAACAGTATAAAGATTCCTCAAGACATTTGAAATAGAATGATCCTATGATCCACTTCTGGGTATATATCCAAAGAAAATTTAAAAAGGATATTTAAAAGCTATATGCACTCCCATGTCTACTGCAGCATTATTCAAATAGCCAAGATATGGAAACAACCTAAGTATCAACAGATGAATAGACAAATAAACAGAAAAAGAAGACTATCTATCTATCTATCTATCTATCTATCTATCTATCTATCTATCTATCATCTATCTATTTATCTATCTATCTAGTTCAGCCATGAGAAAGAAGGAAATTCTGACATTTTCAAAGTGGATAAATCTTGAAGGCATTATGCTAAGAAAGATAAGTTGGACAGAGAAAGACAAATACTGTATTCTATCTCTCATGTGTGGAATCTAAAAAATGCTAAACTTGCAGAACACAGAGTAAAATGTTGGTTATTGGCAGCTGGGCAGTAGGGGAAATGAGGATATATTGGTCAAAGGGTACAAACTATCAGTTAAAAGATGAAGTTCTGGGGATCCAATTACAGCATTGGGATTTTATTTAACAATAACGTATTATATACTTGAAAACTGCTGAGAGTAGATCTTAAAAGTTCTCACTACAAGAAAGAAAAAGGCAATTTTATGATGGAATGAAGGTGTTAACCAAGACTATAAATATATCAACTTGACATGTTGTACACTTTAAACTTAGACAATGTTATCTGTCAATTATACCTCAATAAAACTGGAAAAAATCACCAGCTGCTGAGTGTATGTGTGTGTTTAAACTAGCATTTGTTGAATGCTTATTTTGTGCTAGGTATTTTACATAGTGCTTTATATACATTATTTCATTGAATTCTCACAGCAGCCCTACGAGAAAAAAGTTTTTAATTATCTCCATTTTAGAAATGACAAAACTGAAGCTTAACGATATTATTTAATGAAGTCATGTTGAAGCAGTCACTAAGTGATAGAACTGGGATTAGTATACATCTAACACCTGACAGAACTTATGATCTTCTCCATCATGCTATATAGTTTTTACTAATTCTCCTCTGCTTTAAAAAAAAAAGATAAAATAAAGACAAGTATTGGATTTCTATTGAGAAATTAATAAACGATAACCAAAATGTACATAAACATGGAATTGGTCTTTGAGTTTTTAATTCCAGATACAGTCAATCCAACCCCACCAGGCAATATGATAAATTATAGTTTATAAAATAACTTTTTCTCTAGAACAGTAACTGGGCAAAGTAAATATATTGTGAAATTATTAGAAACGATCAGGATATTTTCCTCCTGTTCTGCCTGTTTAAGACTCGAACACCTGTCACCCTCTCTTTGCAGTTCTGCTGGGAATTCTCAGTCCAATGAAGCTATTCTATACCAGAAGCACAGCTGAATGACTACAGAAATTAAGAGAAAATATCTCTCTTTATCCAACTTTGTGAGAGGAGTGAATTCTTTTTTTATTTATTTATTTTTTTTGGAGTTTCATCAAAATTTACCTTACATCTCCTTAGGCCCAGGATTAAAAAAAGTGTTAGAACATATTTCCACATTCCAATACGAGTGGTATAACTGCATAAAGAAATATCAAAATTATGTCACTAATTCCATAAACTTTAAAAATCATTTTGTTCAATCTTTGCTAGTTAATCACCGTTGCATACATGATGACTAAAGGTCATCAATGCTTGCTTATGAGAATAAATTTGGACCCAGTCTATTATTTAAGAGTTAATTGAAGCTTGCCAAATATTGACTGTCGTGAGTAATTCCTTTTTAGAGTAGTAGTAGTGAGGATCTGATGTTATAGTTCAGCCAGACAATAAAATTTAACTGTTATAAATTTCAAAAGAAGATGATTTATTTGATACTTGGAATTTCTTTTTCCTCTAAAGATTACAGGAAAATTCCCACAAGATGTGGCAGGAAGAATATGCTTGTCATTCACTTTTATGCTTCAAGCTTACAAAAGTTAACCTTATTGATGGTTTTATACATTAAATTGATTGGGGAATAGATATATTTTGTTTTAGTATTATGATAAATTTATCTTCACTAATAAGGGGTGTGTTTTGTTAGGGAAGAAAAGGAACCAAGTTTTCTTTGCATGCTCCTAGCCAAATCCATGAAACAATTCTTGGTTGTCTTTCTTGTCTTGCTTGCATCAGCATTTGACACAGTTGATTATTACGTCTCCTTGAGATATTTTTTTGTTTCCACTTATCTTGTGGAACACCTCACCTTTCATTTTGTTGTCTCTGGAGTAACTCACAGTTGAGTACTTGGGCATTTTTACTCTGTACCCCCACTACCACAGTGATCTCATTCACAATGAGATCATGTCTTTAAATACAATCTCTGATGATGATTACCAAACTTATAACTCTTGGTTAGACCTGTCAGACCTGTCTTCTCATCTAACTGTTAACTTGTCTGTCACACATACTCATCTCATGACGCATGCCAAATTAGTGTCATTTCCCCACCAAACCTCCTTCACCTACAGTTATCTCCTTCTAAATTAAGGACAGTATCATCTTTCTAACTGTTCATGCTAAAAATCTTGGAGCATTCTTGACTCTTCTCATTTTGTCACAATGTATATGTTACACAATGCATGTAAATGGCTTATGATAAAGTATATATTCAGAATTAAATGTTGCATCTGCACATTTCTCTCCACTCTTTTTTTTTTCAAGAACTTGTATTAGACAACTATCATAGACTCAATCTTTCATCTGTGTCTCTTAACACACACACATCCCGTATTTACTAGTGTAGAATTTTAAGTTCATTTCTCAAATTATGCTATGAGTCATTATTTTTCTCTTCAGATTTGTCCAGACAAAAGTTTTTTTTTTAAGTTGTCTCTAAAATATTTTTATTTTAAATTATTTTAATTTTAAATCATTCCAATGGCTATAAACACATACTTTTTCTAAGGTTTATAATCATTCTTATTTTATATCCATTTATTTATTTTGTTTTCTTTCTTAACAGTTTTACAAATAATGTTATTTTTCACATTCTTGCATTTATCTCTTGAAGTTACCAGAAACAATTATTTTAAATTTTTTGTCTTCCGCCAATGAATCTGCCTGTGCTCTTTTCCCTGTGGTGGCCTGGCGTGCAACGGCCACCTCCTTGGTAGTGTATGCCACCTGTTGAAAATATTAATTGCCCTAAAGGACCTTAAAGACAGCTCTCTCCAGTGCACATTCATATCTGACCTCATGCTGTACCCAGTCTAGGCTCCAAAAGGGTATGTGGGGTGTCTTTGGAAAGTCCTAGGGCAGTGGCCAGAGTTCACACTGGCCAAGTCATCATGTCCATCTACACCAAGTTGCAGAACAAGGGCATGTGATTAAAGTCCCACACAGGGCAAAGTTCAAGTTCCCTGTCTGCCAGAAGATCCATGAAGAAGTGAGGCTTTACCAAGTTTAATGCAGATGAATTTGAAGACATGGTAGTTGAAAATCAGCAGCTCATCCTTGATGGCTGTGGGGTCAATTCTATCCCTAATCATGGCCCCCTGGACAAATGATTGGCCTTGCTCTTGTGGAGGCTTCAGCGCTACCTGCTGTTTACTCGTGCCCAACAATAAATCCTACTTCCTCTCCATCTAAATAAATACATACACACATACATACATACATATATAAAATGTTTGTCAAGGTCTTCTAAAAAAATTAGTATTATCTATACTTAATTCTATTTGTTAATTTTATTTACTGTGCTTTTTATCCCTGAGTTTCTTATGTGTTTTGGAATTTGGGTATGCAGATTTACTTTGTGATGGAGATGTTATTAATTTTTTATTGTTTTTGCTTTAATTTTCTTTACTTCTTCTCATCGGTACTTGCCTAGTAGTTTTGTGGTTGCCTCTACCTGCTAAATATGCTTTCTACATTTTACTAGCTAGTTGATTTTTCCAAGTAACTTAACCACTGTGCCTAGGTGTCCAAAATTTTTAAATGATAATAAAAAGAGTAACTACTCCATATATTTGTTGTGAGCACTGAAATAATGACTGTAAAGCACTTATCAAGTATTTTGCATATAGAAAGTAACTAAGGTTATCATTTATAATAATAATTGCTATTACTAATTATGTCATACCATATTTTTTATTACAGCAAGCCTAGACTGTCTTCTTTGCAATTAATTTGGATATATTCTTCAAGTTCTAGTCCTTTAAATATTTCTCATTAAATATGTTTTCTAATAAGAACCCCATCATTTGAGTTACCTCCTACTCTCATATTTGCTTATGTTATATCTTAGGGTTGAGGTTATGTTATTGGCTATTTTAAAATTCTGAAGTTTTTATTTTTTTCAAACTTTGGGCTCTTCAAGGTGACAGGGTTTTTAAGGTCAAAGATTACCCCTTTTTTGCATTTTCTTTCCTCAGTGGCAGATAAAATGTTCTTAATAGAGTATGAACATAATAAATTTTATACTAAACTTTAAACTCAAAACCAAATGTTATGTCATAGAGAAATGTGTAAGAGGTGGATTTCACTTATAGTCTAATAATTCTCAAATTACGTATTTATTTTATATCCACAGCTGTGTCACAATTTTCCTTAGTGCTAGACTCAATTTTGGATCTGGTTAAAAAAAAAAGAAAAACAGCTGTCATATTTTTTAAATAAGAATACGTCTGACTATAAAGATTTAATTGAAAGACTTTTGTCAAAAAATAATAGGCAATTGTATGAAAAGCATAATGTTTTCATAGGTTCCAGCATGTTATAAGTTAAGAACTATATTAATTCTCTTCCAACAAAAACAAACAAAAAACAAAAACAAAAACAAATACCTTCAAGTTATACCTTCTGAAATAAGAAAGAAAAAGTTTACAAATAAAAAGCGCAAGTACTTAAAAACACGCACATTGAGGAAATATTGAAGATGGAAAGTTTTACTTTCAAACATTAAGTAGATATGCCCATTTTATAGGTATATGCAAAAGTAAAATAGAATTTCTACTCTGAGTGCCTATAACTATAGGCCTAATCTGTACTGATTCATATGCTAGTTCTTAGAAAATAGTTCAGTATGATTAATATCATTCAATTCACTAGAATGTTATATTTCTTTTTACTATCGATTAATCTGTATTCTATCTGTCTTAATAAATAGAACAAATTGAGATATGCAAAAATGTTAGTACTGGTTAGATAATTTCTTCTAGATATCTGCTCAAACCATCCTTGAGCCTGGTTAAAGTGGGTGGTGACAATAAAGATAACTGCTTAGTGTTTTTTATTAAACTAAAGAACCTGAGATGGATCAAAAGAGAAATTTGAAAAAAAACGACACTAAAATCAAACTATGCTTTATCTAGGGTCAAATGCATCTACTACCTTCTTCTTAAGCACAAGTTTGCTCAGTCCTATCTGAAATTTTGCTCATGTATCCCAAATATCAAGTATTCTTCCTGTATCCTTTTTCTGCTTATCTAAAACTTAATAATCCCAGTACAGCAATTGTCCTTCAAGTGACTTGGCATGCTGTGAGAAGAACAAGGACTGCTACACAGACTTTCTCCTTTGAAAGGAAATTATATCATATTATTATTATTATTTTTGCATGTGAATAAGTAATTTGATCTTAGAGAAAACATCTGTGTTCAGAGTGCATTCTGAATACAGTGGAGGAGTTAGATGTTCATATGATTATACTTAAAGATATCATGGCAAATTTACTTCTCTCCATCTCAGTTTTGACCTCTAATTCTGTGTAAATTTTTACCATTAAAATTAGAATGCTGGTTTTTATTTTGTTCATTTTGTCATTCATTTATTCATTCTTCGAATATTATAAAAGCAACCCATGTATGGTGCGTACAAAAAGACATCAACATGCAATATCGATTCTTCACATTATATGTCATTAGGGACTACAAATTAAAACAGCCATGGGATACCACTACACATCTATTAAAATGGCAAAAATTCAAAATACTGACAACTCAAAATGCTGTGGAAGATATAGAAGAACAGAAACTCTCATTCATTGCTGGTGAGGATACAAAATGGTACAGCCACTTTGGAAGACAGTTTGGCAGTTTCTTACAAAACTGTATATACTCTTACCATATGATCCAGCAATCGTGCTCCTTGGTATTTACCCAAAGGAGTTAAAAACTTACATCCACATAAAACCTGAACAAGGATGCTTATAGTAGCTTTATTCCTTATCGCCAAAACTAGGAAGAAACCAAGATACATGTCAACAGGTAAATGAATGAATGAACGGTAGTACATCCAGACAATAAAATATTATTCAGTGCTAAAAAGAAATGATCTATCAAGCCATGTAAAGACATGGGGTAAACTTAAATGCACACTACTAAGTATAAGAAGTTAATAGGAAAAGGCTATATGCTGTAATATTCAAACTATACAACATTCTGAAAAAAGGTAAAGTTATGGAGACAGTAAAAAGATCATTGTTTTCTATGGGATTAAGAGAGGTGGAGATAAATAAGCAGATCACGGAAAATTTTTAGTGCAGCAAAACTATTCTCTATGAGACTGTAATGGGGAACATGTGTTATACATTTGTCAGAGCTCATAGAATGTACTATAATACCATGAGTAAACCCTAATGTAAGGAATGAACTTTGGGTGATAAGGGTATGTCAAAGTTAGTTCATTGATTATAACAAATGTATTGTTCTTGTGTGGGATATTGAGAGTAGAAGAGGCTAAAGGTGTATGGGAATACAGGGTATACAGGGTATCTGTACTTTCCTCTCAATTTTGCTGTGAACCTAAAACTGCTCTAAGATATAAAATCTATTAAAATAAACAAACATATTCAACTTTATTAAAAACAAAAGAATATATGACTTTACAATCTACAAAACAATAGACTGAAATAATTGGTATATTTGCCATTTAAACCAAGATATTGGATCATATATGTAAAATATATATTTCTTAAAAAACAATATTCATATGATTGCATAGAGACATATTAATAAACATTTTTAAAAACTATATAATAAAACTACTTTAATTTTCATAGTAGCTTTACACCACAAAGATCCCTCTGAAAGTTCATAAAGTAGCAGATTAATAGTTAAATACTTGAGATCTATTGAAATATGGACAGTATATAAGAGATCACAAATTAAATTATAAATATTCTTTTTGATGTTTGCTAAAATAACAGAAAAATAATAAATAAACACACTAAATGAAGAGAATATAATAATTTTCTCAATTGACGTATTTTTACAAATGTACATATTATAAATAAATAAAATTCATACAGTCGACTGTATTTATCATTTTTGGTCTTTATAAACTTTTCGTAAAATCTGATCAATAAAATTACAATATACTTTTAAATGTATTTTGCTTTAATTTAGATACCATTCACATCAGCAAATGTTTTTCCATTTTTATTTTATATTTATGTTAGAATTTTGAATGATTATTTCATTGTATGACTCAAAACCATAACTCCTGCTTCTAAGATTGTGGTCCCAGAGGAGAGAATATGCATAGTAGGTAAATATTATTTATTGTTTATTGAATATTTGAAGCATTTTAATTTTAAAATCAAATTATCTTCAACTTTTTGTAGTTATTTGTATATACAAAGTCACAGGCTCTGGCTTTGGCCATAAAGAACTGAAGCAAAAATACACACCATCAGCCCCCTTACACATGACTTGCTCATCCTACTCACCTTACAGACATAGAAATGCTCAAATCTAGCTTTATCTCTGTTCCATTGTACAAATCTCTCTTACTAAGACATCTGTTTTACCAATATATGTATTTTTTTTTTTTTTTTGCAAATACTCAGCCCATCCTTTTCATTATAGCTAAATATCTTTATCAAGGGTAACTTTTATTTCCCTTAAACTAGAACCAAAAATCCCTCAGTTAAAAATAAAGGAATATAATTGAATTTTAAATGTTTTAACTCATCACAGACTTGACATATCCTCATAATAATTAACTCCATGTAACAGTGAGGTGAGGACATTTAGATTAGTGAATCTCTTAGGTGCACCGGACAAATGAAAAAGCAAAGCCAAGATTCAAACATAGGTTTTGACCTTTATCAGGTCTTCCATCTCCACAGCCCAGGCTCAAAATACACTCTCCATGCCTCCCACCCAAAAGTCTGTTTATGTACATAAACACTCAGCTTAGGAGGAATTCTCTTTTGTGAAACAA